GATGCTGGGTGAGCCGCAGGCCCTCGTCCGCCAGGCGGTCGATATTCGGGGTCCTGGGGAAACGGGAGAAACGCAACCGGACGGACCTGGTGTGGCGCTCCAGGGAGAGAAGCGGAAACTGAGCAGGGCGTGGGGGCGCCCGCCTTCGGACCCCGGCGCTCCGGGAGGGAGGCTGAGGCAGGAGGGTCCCGAGGAGAAGCCCAGCCCTGCCATGTAGTGACTTTGACGCGACCCCGTGTTCGGGGGGAGAAATCTAAACGGTGCTGGGTCCGGCCCTGGGTGAAGCCCTCATTTCCCGGAATGCACCTCGGACTGCGACTCCCGGGCACCAGTTGGGTAGCGACTGCCTGTAACTAATCTATTTATTTCCTCATTGGTACAGGGCATCTCGCTCAGCCAGGTCCCCACACAGGAAATCACGGCCTCACGCGCTTGCTAAGTGGCCCAGGCTGGCTCCAGACACCCTCCTGCCTCAGCCGACCAGAGGGTTGGGATGATGGGAGGGCTCCCCCAGGCCTGGCTCCCTGTGTCCTCACACGCACGTCCCTCTGTGTGTGTCCACATCCTCCCATCCTTTCTCAGTAGGATGCAGGCTCAGGGGCTCAAAGCCACCCTGGGGACTCAGTTTACCTCCACAACTCTAAGACCCTGTATTCGTACAGTGGAAGCTTGAGATCCTGGGGTCAGAGAGTCAGTCAACGAACACCCAGTCTCCACACAGCCACGGACTGAGGTCCAGGGTGCTAGGATTTAGGAGTTCTCAGGGCGCGACTGACCCTACAGCCATCACTGACAGCCTCTGAGATGAGGTCTCCTAACTAGGGTGGCCCCAAATCCAACAACAGCATCCTCAGGAGAGACAGAGCAGGAGGCACACAGAGGAGGAGCCGAGTGGAGATGAAGTCGGAGACTGCCCCAGGAGGAGGCAGAGGCAGGAGGGTCTCGCCGGGAGCCTGTGGATGCCTCTGTCTCAGCCTCCTGGGCTCCAGGACAGGAATTCCTGGACGCTCTCTGGGCTGGAGAGCTCCGCCCCAGAGCCCAGCACACCTCAGAGTGTGGTTCCCGTAGCAGCCCAGGTCCCCGATGCCCAGGTCATCCGCCAGGATCAGCAGGAAGTTCGGTCTTGGGGCTCTGCTGGCCTCGGCCCCGCAGCTCCACAGGAGGAGGCCCAGGAGGAGGGGTCGCAGTGTGGGGCCTCTGGGAGGAAACACAGGCAGCGGTGAACGCCTGGGGTGGGCGTGCGGCAGGGGCAGGGGCAGGGGCAGGGGCAGGGGCAGGGGCAGGGTGCGCCTGACCGGGCGGGAGGAAGACGGCGCCTTTGGGGACAGAACCATCGAGGGGGAGGTGGCCAAGGGCCTCGGAGTTGGGCCCAGCCAAACCACTGGTCCCGTAGATGGGGCCAAAACGGTCGATTGGAGGGACCCTGCGTACGCAGCAAGAGCGAGCCCACTGACGCCGGCGAGATTTCCAACAGCTGGAGACCCCCAGCAGGTTAGGCCTGAAACCTCAGACAATTCCAGTCCTTGATAAAACAGCCCACGATTAAGTATAATGTACAAAGGAAGCATCGATCCCAACATTGATATAATGTACAAAGGAAGCATCGATCCCAACATTGATCCGTAGCCCCACCCACCCGTCCATCCGCCCGTCCATCCGCCCGTCCATCCACCCGTCCATCCATTTTTCATCAGTGTAACAATTGTTCTGATTGAAAAGAATTAACACCATAAATTAAATAATTATAAAAGCGTGTCTTCAATGGTTACTTAAAACTGATGAATTATTTATCTGTGGAATTTTTCCCGTTAATATTTTTGAGTAATGAGTTACTAAGGCTTCAGAAACTCGTAACCAGACATGCAGTGTTGCTTGGTTTCCCGTGTGACTTGAGAGGAGCCCAAAGTAGAAATAAATTAAAAAAGAAAACGGAAGATCGATAATAGGGAACAGGGTGGTCGATGTTTTCAAAAGTTAAGGAGAAAAAGAGATTCAGGGAGAACAGCGGACACGGAGGAAAAAAAAATTAAACTGTGTTCCGTACGTGGACCAACTCCCCGCCGGGAATGTGAACATTAGGCACTGAAAATAAGGACTAATAAAAATAAAACAATTTTAAAAATAACTGAATAAAAGCAGGACTGTTGTAACTACGGAACCATCGCTCTGTGTTTTGTTATTTCTGGTTTTCCCCTTGCTTTTTGATCCCATTCCTTAGAGGTCCTCGGGGAAGAGGTCTCCAGAGCCGCTGCAGAGCGGCCGGAGCGTGGGGGGAGAGGGGGTGCACTGCTGCCGAGCATCTGGGGGGCGGTCGTGGCCACGTGTCTTTAATGTAAAAAAATAATTAAAAAAAATTTAAACATTCACCAAGTATTTCGGTCACCTCTTGTATATTCCTGCCCAGCAAGCTGGTTTCTGCCCAAAGACAAAACATACACACTTACACAGCAGATTGGCTTTTCTTGGACCTGCCGGCGTCCGGAGAAGGTCTCATCCTAGGAAGGAGACAAGGCCTTGGGGTGTGCAGAGCACTTCCCAGAGGCGGCGAAATCTCTTCGCGTAATAAATTATCTTACTTTACAAGATCGCCCTATTTTGTGATCACGCCATGTCTATTTTTTACCACTGCATTCAAATGCGATTAATGGGCCGGGCCTGGTTGGGCTCGCCCGTCATCCCGGCACGTGGGAGGCTGAGGCAGGAGGGTCCCCTTGCGCTCAGTGCCAGACTGGGCTGCACAGTGAGCTCATGTCCAACCTGAACTGTTCATAGCAAGACCTTGTCCCCCAAACTCGCAAGCAATTAATAAAATAAAGGACAGTTCATGAGCAGTCACGCCAGAACCCATCCCCGACAACCAGCCAGTCCCTTTTCCTGTGGTGACCGCCGTGCCCGCCTCCAGTTTGGCTCCTGGACTCCTGGGGTGTCTTCCTGTCCCTTGGGAAGCGCAGGCTGGGGCCCTGCCCTAAAGGCCAAGTGCGGGGTGGCGGGGACCCCAGACTGCTCGGTGACCCGGGGCGAGGAGGACAGCAGAGGAGGCCGGGGCGCAGGGCGGGCCCTGTGCTGTCCGTGTCCAAAACCGGGGACTCCGGACGGCGGCGGGC